GCTGCTGCTGCTGCTGCTGCTGCTGCTGCTGCTGCTGCTGCTGCTGCTGCTGCTGCTGTTGTTGCTGCTGTTGCTGGTAGAGTTTCATTTTTATTTCTCTTTTTTGTTTTATTTCTCTTTTTCCTCCTTTTCGTTTGTGCAGTTGCTTCCGGCGTTGTTGGTTTTTGCGCTAACTTAGGGTTTAGGGTTTCCCTCTCTGCTTTCACTGTGTCCAATGCGCTGCTGCTGCTGCTGCTGCTGCTGCTGCTGCTGCTGCTGCAGGCTGAGGGTCCCCTGGCGCTGCTGCAGGCGGCAGCTCTCTTCGACTTAACTGCGAGGCCCAGAAGTTTAGATGTGGAGAGCATTACTGCAGCAGCTCAGGCTCTTTACGACACCGTAAACCCTAAACCCTAAACCCTAAACCCTAAAGAGTTTGCGGCGCCTGCTGCCCGTCTTTACCTTTTGCTGGCTTTTTACTTAGGGTTTAGGGTTTAGGGTTTAGGGTTTAGCACATCTGGAGATGTGCATGAGTTGATTACAAATGAATTGGAAAACAATAAAATTTATTTATTTATTAAATGCATTTTATCTTTTATAAATCTAAAACTATACTGCAATTCTTTTGCATTCGTAGAGGCAAAGACTTCTCTTTTTAAAATTGAATTGGAAGCAGCAAAGAGTTGGCTTTTCTTTGTGCTGCAGCGGGACCAGTGGCAGCACGAAACCCTAAACCCTGTTTTAGGGTTTCTGTCTTCTTCCCCGCTGCTGTCGCGTCTGCCGCCTCCTCTGAATTCCTTTTTTTCTTCTTTTGCATTTCTGCCGCCTTCGCCGCTTCCTTCCGGGCCCCACAGGCTGTCTTCGCTGGACCTGCTGCAGCAGCTGCAGCAGGCCAAGGCCAGCAGCAGCAGCAGCAGCAGCAGCAGCAGCAGCAGCAGCGGGGCTGTAGTTCCTGTGCAGGAGCGCATCTTTAATTGCATTCGGCAGTGGCCCGAGGTGTCTGTACACCGCAATGTCTGCGTGGGCAGCTGGGCCTTCGCTGATATGGCCGTCGACTTGGCTTCTTTGGCGAGGCACATGCAGCAGCAAGAAGCAGCAGCAGCAGCAGCAGCAGCAGCAGCAGCAGCAGCAGGGGAAGATGTGGCCAGCAGCGAGGAGCCTTTGAGCGGATTTGAAGTGGAAGAAGGAGCGGCAGATGCAGCAGCAACGGAAGCAGCAGCAGAGGCAGAGCAAGAAGCGGAACAAGCGGCAGCAGCAGCAACCGAAGCAGCAGCAGCAGCAGCAGCAACAGTCGAACCAGAAGCAGCTGCAGCAGAGCCCGCAGCAGCTGCAGCAGAAGCAGCAGCAGCTGCAGCAGAGCCCGCAGCAGCAAGGGGGCGTCGCTCGAGGCGCAGCGACGCTAAGCAGAGCAGCCTCTCGAAGCCCCCAAACCAACCAGCAGCAGCAGCAGCAGCAGCAGCAGCAGCTGCTGCTGCTGCTGCTGCTGCTGCTCGTCCTTGCTACATGTTTGATGCAGCAGGACAGCCATCTGTTTGCTGCTCTGTGTCTGCTGCTTCGCACTTGTTGGTTTTGGTGCTGCTGGAGTGTCACGACTTCCTCGAGGTGTCTAGACACCGCAAACAAGCAGCAGCAGAAGAGCCAGCAGCAGCAGCAGAACCAGCAGCAGCAGCAGCAGCAGCAGCAGCAGCAGCAGCAGACGCGCCACTTGCTGCAGCAACAAGGGCCAAACTCAAAGCCCTCCGCAGCTGGGGATGGCCAGTTGTGTGCATTCGGGAAAAGGCCTGGCGGCGGGCGGAGAAGTTGGACGAAAAAGAAATAAAAACGAAAATGGAAAATAAAAAAGAAAATAAAAAAGAAAATAAAAAAGAAAATAAAAAAGAAAATAAAAATGAAAATAAAAACGAAAATGAAATTATTAATAACTTCCACTTTCCAGATTCTCCAGTCCAGTTTGACCGCCACCGCAAACAGCTCTTCTTCAGCCTCGTGGCTGCGCTGGCTGAAGAACAAATAAATAAATAAATAAATAAATAAATAAATAAATAAATAAATAAATAAATAAATAAATAAATAAATAATAAATAAATGATTGTAAATAAATAATTCATCAGTTGCAAACCCTGAAGAGCCGCTTCTTGCATTTCTACAAAGAAAAATGGCTCCAAACCCTAAACCCTAAACCCTAAACCCTAAACCCTAAACCCTAAACCCTAGTTCAGAAGGTGCTGTTGCACTCTGGGGAGGCGAAGACAGACTTCAGTGTGCATTTATATATATCAATTTATTTGCCATAGAACGCATGCAAATATAAATATAAATATATAAATATATAAATATATAAATATAAATATATATATTTTATTGAAAATATCAACTTCTATGTCTTTATAAATATATTTGCATTTAAATATATTTATATTTATGTGCGTAAGACAGCTAGAAGCAGCAAAACTAAAAATAGCAGCAGCAGCAGCAGCAAAAGAGTGCAGCAGCAACCTGAGGGAAGCAGCAGCAGAGGAAGCAGCTGCTGCTTCTTAAGAAGCCACAAAAGCTGCCAAGGGCCCTTTGCACCTCTGCTGAGGCCTAGACCCTAGGGGCCCCCTCTAGGGGCCCCTAGGGGCCCCCTCTGGGGGCCCCTAGGGGGCTCTCTGGGGTCCCCTGGGGGGCCCCCCTTTGGGGGAATCTGGGGGGCCCCCCTTTGGGGGCCCCTGGAGGGCCCCCGTCTGGGGGCCCCTGGGGGGCCCCCCTTTGGGGGCCCCTGGGGGGCCCCTAGGGGGCCCCCCATAAGGTTTGCTGCGGCTTTCAGGGCCCTTTTGCGGGGCCTAAAGTCTGGTGAAGGCCCCCTAAAGGGCCTGGAGCCTGTGGGGCCCCACAGTGACCCTGGGGGTGCGCTGGTGCTGCGCCTGGCTGGCCCTGGCACAAGTTCAGCTAGCTACGGCCAGCTAGCCAGCTAGCTGCGCCCAGCTAGCCAGCTAGCTGTGCCCATCTAGCCAGCTAGCTGTTCCCATCCAGCCAGCTGGCCCCCCCGGGCCCCCTGGGGGCCCCCCGGGGCCCTTGGGGGCCTTCTTGGGGCCCCGTTGGGTGTTTAGGGGCCCCAAGAAGGTACCCTGGGGGCCCCGGGGGCCCCGGGGGCCCCTAGGGTACACCTGGGGGCCCTGGGGGCCCCTAGGGGTACCCGGGGGGCCCCTGGCTTTAGCTCAGTGCAAGGGGGTTGGGGGCCCCCTGGGCTTTTGGGGGCAGTACAGCGTTGCAGAGAATTGAAAACTATTTTAAATTATTTTAAATTATTTTAAATTATTTTAAATTATTTTAAATTATTAAAAATTATTCAAAGAGGTCTACTGGGGGATAGTTTGGGTTGACTTCTGAGCTGTTTAGGGGGAAGGAAAGAAGTAGGGGAACGGCTGGGGGAGGGCAGCTGCTGCAGAATATAAATAAATAAATAAATAAATAATAAATAATAAATAAAAAATAAATAATAAATAAATAAATAAATAAATAAATTCAAAAAGACAAAAAGAAAATGAAAAAATAGGTGAAGACAGTAGCACCCGAAGGCGAAGAAGAGGGGAAGAGAGGCGCGAGTGGACGCGGGGGCTCAATAGCAGCAGACGAGAACTAATAAGTGGAAAATAAAAGATAAATAAATAAATAATAAATAAATAAATAAATAAATAAAATAAATAAATAAATAAATAAATAAAGACAGGAGTAATTACAGGAGAGTGCAGAAGACACGCATGGTCGGCAAGACAGCCGGGGGGTGTAGTGACAGCTGGTGCGGGAGGGTCTGTGGCGGGGAGGAAAGGCGGAATAGAAGTGAAATAAAGAAAAACAAATAAATAAATAAATAAAATAAATAAATAAATAAATAAATAAGCAAATAAACGCCTGGGGCTTCACGAAGAGCGAGCAGCAGCGGGGAGAGTCGATGAGGGGTTGCTGCGGGGTGGCGGCTGCGTTTCTGGGGGCGTCTGTGGGGAGTAAGTGGCGGATTTGGTCGGGAAAAAGCGGAAAGAACTAAAAAGGAGAAATAAAAAGCAAAAGAATTAAAAAAACGCGAAAAGGAAGCAGCGGCGGAGCGGCAGGCTGCGAGACAGCGCAGCCGCAGCCGCAGCCGCAGCAGCGCAGCAGCCGCAGCCGCTGCTGCTGCTGCTGCTGCAGCACAGCAGCAGCAGCAGCAGCAGCAGAGAGCGAGACGGCGGCGAAGAGGAGCAAAAAGGAAAAGTGAAGCCGAAGAAGAGTGGGGGCGTTTGCTGGGCGCAGCGTCAGTTTGGGGTGTACGTACGTACAGCTGGGGGCGTGCGCGTGGGGTGTACGGGGAGCTCTGTGTGCGTTTCTGGGTGGATTTTTGCGTTTTTTTCGGATTTGGGGATTAAAAAAGACAAATAATTTGATTATAATTCGAAAAGGCGCAGTTGGGAGCGCATTGGGTTCGCGTTTGGCTGCGCGCGGAGCTGCGGCGATGGGGGCGGCCGCGGAGTCGCAGCGGCTGCGCGCGGGCGCGGGCTGCAGCGGGTACGGCGCGGCGGGAGGTCCAGTGGACCTGGAGAGTGGACCAGTGGTCCACTCGAAGGGCCAGGGGGTTCGTTGGGCAGCTGCGGAGAAGGCGCAGCTGCTGCTGCTGCTGCTGGCGTGGTATTTGCTGAACATAATGTACAACATAGACAACAAGAAAGCCCTTTCTCTGCTGCCTCTCCCCTGGTTCGTCTCCACCTTCCAGCTGCTCTTTGGCTGGCTCTTCTTCGGCTCCGCCTGGCTGCTGCGGCTGCGGCCCAGGCCCCGCTGCCACTCCTGGAAACTCTTCTTTGCTGCTGTTGTTCCGCAAGGACTTTGCCACTTTTTGGTTCATTTTGGAGCAGTAGTTTCGATGTCTTTAGGCGCAGTTTCTTTTACTCATATTGTGAAGGCTGGGGAGCCAGTTTTGACGGCGCTGCTGTCTTTGCTGCTGCTGCAGCAGCAGTTTGCTGCAGCAACTTACCTCGCGCTGCTGCCCGTTGCTGCTGGCGTTGCTGCTGCTTCCTGCACCCAAGTGGACTTCAGCTGGGCCTCCTTTTGCTGCGCAATGCTCAGCAACTTCGGCAGCAGCAGCAGAGCCCTCTTGGCCAAAAAAGTGATGTCTAATGCAGCAGCAGTTGGCAGCAACTTGTCTTCTCCGAACTTGTACGCGCTGCTGACCATGGTAGCTTCTGCTGCTGCGCTGCCGCTCGCGCTGCTGCTCGAGGGGCCCCGTGCTGCAGCAGCGTTTGCTGCTGCTGCTGCTCCGGGGGGCCCCGGGGCCCCCGCCGTGCTGCTGAAGATGACCCAAAGTGCCATTTGGTGCAGCAGCAGCAGCAGCAGCAGCAGCAGCAGCAGCAGCAGCAGCAGCAGCAGCAGCAGCAGCAGCAGCAGCAGCAGCAGCAGCGGGAGGCGTGGTGGTGCTGCTGTCATCGTTTTCCAAACTCCTTTAACTCCGCTGGGAGCAGCAGGAAGTGTTGTGGCTATTGTTGGGACTTTTCTCTACTCTCTTAGCAGGGCCAAGTATGGCTAGCTGCAGCAGCAGCAGCTGCTGCTGCTGCTGCTGCAGCAGCAGCAGCAGCAGCGGGAGGCGTGGTGCTGCTGTCATTGTTTTCCAAACTCCTTTAACTCCTTTAGGAGCAGCAGGAAGTGTTATGGCCATCCTCGGCACTCCACTCCCTCGGCAGGGCCAAGTACAGCTAGCTGCTGCAGCAGCTGCTGCTGCTGCAGCAGCTGCTGCAGCAGCAGCAGCAGCGGCAGCAGCAGCAGCAGCAGCAGCAGGAGGGTCGGGTGGGTGGGGGCGGAAGTGTAGGAGCGGGCTGCGGCGTGAGGAGTCCTCATCGGCCGGCGGGCCAGCTGATGAGCCGCAGCAGCAG